TTTTTGAAACATCTCCACAGTCAAACATAAAGAACGATGACAATGTTATTTATGAGAAGCAGACATGGATTGTCACTTATAAACCTCAATCCATAATTAAGAGCTGTGTGTGGGGGGAGATTTCAACTATCATTGAAACTGTAGTTTTTGTAAGCTAAAGGATGAATTATTTAACCTGGAGTTTGCTAAATACAATCATTGGCAGGGGACAATTCTTATGACTCTGTTTTTTAGATAACAGAACTACTAAGAATTTGATATCATGTTATCTGGTAATACAATGATATTATTTTTGGTGGTGGTTCAGTCTCTTGGAATGCATCAGTCAGAGGGGAGCCTATATGAGGTTAACAAATTATGTCCTTTAGGTCAGAATATTTTGCACATGAATGAAAGTATTTGAGGACTGAGCTCTGCTCCACAACATTGAAATCTTAGTTTCTCACTCGTATTGAAGTGGGCTGGGTGAAGCAGAATAAAAGAGTCTGTTCTGAAATAATAGTGAACTTTTTTCTCTAATGTTCTCTTCTTTTGCCTCATACACTGTTAGTTTCATGTCCAAGCAGCACAGTTCTGTGAAGGATGGGATAGAAATCCTTCTACTCATGAGGTAGATATGAGTACTGAGAAATCTACTCATGGGGTAGAAATCTCAGTGAGAAGAGAAAATAAGAAGTATCTGAGCTGTGTGATAATACTAAGGAGAGATTGAAATAATATTGTCAAAAAGAATCTTGCTGTTGTGGAATATAAGATCAAACCTGTTTCTGAAGACTCCACTTTTCAGAAAAGAGGCTTCAAGTTCACTGTATGTTTCTTGGTGTCTTCTATGTGTAACTGGTGCACTTGGGCAAACCGCGAACATTCTCCCTTGTGCTGCAATTTCTGTGTGTGAGCAGAAACTGATGGGTACTAATTTGTGTGTTACTAGTCACTTACTGTTGATAAGCAAACTGATACTATTCTGATATTTTAGCAACATGATTGATTTGAAGTGTATCAAAAAAGTATGTAACTTTATACTTTTTTTAGTTGACATCTGAACATGAGTAAACAGTATATGCAAATGACTCTGAAGCAACTTTAATACTTTTGTTTAAAATAAGGTGGAAAAAACCCAACGTTTTTCTTATCTCCTAGGAGGAAGAGTTGAGAAAAAGTGGAGAGGCAAAGTACTTCCACCTAAATGATGACCTGCATGTTTTAATTGAAGTATTTGCTCCACCAGCAGAAGCATATGCCAGAATGGGACATGCACTGGAAGAAATCAAGAAGTTCCTCATTCCTGTTAGTATTTTAACTTTTTTGTAAAAACTCTGGTAGTCTTAAGTAAGAAACTTTGTCTCTAAAACTAATTTACTGTAGGATATTGGTCAGGTCATGTTGCTTAACTTCCTCTACCTGTGAAAGAAGTAGTGTTCACAAATACTTTTTGTTCGGATATAGGCAGTTATTGGGTGAACACATAGTTGTCCACGTACACTCTAATCTCTTGATATGACCTGTAGTAAAAAAAGGCAACTTATTCTTGCTTAACTGGTAAAGTGCAAAGTATTTAAGCTTACAAATAACTTTAAAAATCTGTAAAACATGGAAAAATAACTCTGCTAAAGGTCAGGCTTTTCTTTGTTCTTGATACACCTGAAGCATCAACATAGGGTTCTGTTTCACTAAAATTAAATTTGAAGTTGTAGTATTGTTCCCACCCATAATCCTGGTTTAGTGTTCCGTGATGAGAATCAGTACAATTTTATCTTGTATTTTTTTTTCTTCCTGGTGATACTTGGGTTATACTTCTCTTCTGGTGTACACTTCCACTTGTAATGTATAGATGTAAAAAACAAGATGTGATTTCCAGTATAAGTTTCTACTCCAGGTTTGGTATATGCATAGACACTGATGTTGCACAGTGTCTTTTTATGGAAGACTCATTTATTTTCTATATAAGGACCAACCTTGATTGTTTTACAATATTAAACTGCTTGGAACAGGCCAAGCTCTCTTAAGAAGCTGGGGCTCTTGAGATAATTTCACTGTGTATGAAGTTCTTAACTGTATTAGCCCTTCAGTGAACATTCTTTTATTGGTTATCAAATGAATGAGTATGGAAAGCAAATAATGCTTGAGGTGCATTGACTTCTATGTGTTTTCACTGCTGAAAATGTTATCCAAGTGTTATTCTTTTGATTAGTGTCAGATTTTGGAAATGTAGGAGACCTAGCTAAGGAAACTTTACTAAGGTGTGTATCTGAGTGACAGCAGCACATAAACATTTGAGAGAATATAGTTGGCATAGCTGTATTCAGGACCAGTTGGGGAATGCCTGTTGTATGACTACTGCAGCCTGTTGGGGGTAGAACTACCAGTTGTACTCTAAGGTGAAGCAGTCAGTGCAAATGTGACAGTGCTACTATGTGCATTTCAGGGATTTTAGTTTCATGGATCTAGACTAAGTTTTGTACAAACTAAGTCCCCAAGTGACTTGAGTTGGTTGTGTATTCCTTGAGTGTTTCTTCTGGGTTGTTTTTGTCTGAATGAAAGTTAGTTCATATGCCCCAGTACTACTCCATTACATGAACCAAAGTGTGGTAAGTAATATCGGGATTTCCATTTAGGAATACATCCTGATGTGAAATAACATGCTAATGTAGATGCATCTTAAGACAATTAACCCCCCCAAATGTCCTGAACATTATGTTCTCATGTTATAAAGAAGCAAGCACCATGTCATAACTTTGTCTGCAGGTTCCAAATGGCATTTGCCTTGGTGTATATGAAGTGGTAAATAAACAAACCACTGTTCAAACAACCTATAACTGATTAGGTAGGAGATACTCAACAAAATGTAGTAATCCAGGGCTGTCATAATGTTGAAAGTTATTGTATTTGTGTGATTCATTATTTGATTGTGTGAAGAGATAAGGGAGGATTAACTTCTTGACTATTCTAGTGAGGAAACAGCTGTTTTATTTTTAGTATGGTCAATTTGATAAGTGCTTTTTGCATGCACTGGAAGTAAGGATATATCTGATCCCCCTGCGCCCTTCATCGGAGATCTTATTTTTCTTCATTGAGCTTGATTCACCTAATGTCATAATAAATGAAGTAAGCTTATCAAAACCTAGTCATTACTGCTGTTAAGCCTGTAGAATTAGACTGATAACAAGCAATTCCATTCATTGGTTGTACACTTTTCTGTCTGTTTTTGATCATTGCATCTTTATTGTACTGAGCTGAACTGATGCCACATAATCTCTTCAGAAGTATGGGATCAAGCCAACACTGTCTTAATTTCCCTTTGGCTTTTCAAATGTAATCTTATCAGAATGATTCTAAATGCCTTAATCTCTTCTGCCTTCCTGCCTTGCAGCAACCACTCTAGGAATCAATAAGGAGCAGCTTTGTCCTCTCTAGAGCTACCATTTGGTTAACTTCTACTAAATGCAACTTGATTTTCATATGCTATAAGGTCTGTTGTGGCTTTCTTGGCAAATTATCAGTTTCATTTAAAGTAAGAAGTCTTACTATTGGTATATAAGGTTATGATCTTAAATTGTGTTTTCCTTACAATGTAAGCTAATTATACCTTCCAACAACTTTAGATGCTGATCCTAATTTATAAATATGGTTGTTCAGTTTTCAGATCAGGCCTGAATATACGTTCATGGTTGGTGCTAGAATGTAAGATACAAAATATCCTTGTAGTAGCTGACTATAGCAAAAATGTCTTAGTGTCTCTTCTCAGATGTTTAGATCCACAAACAGACTTCTGCATTGAAGTTCAGTCTCAAGCAGCTGTAGTGTACTTTCCTTCAAACTATTGGTGTAACTCAAACCAAGGCATAAAACCTGACTCATGGTTTTTTGGCTGTGTTTGTTTCTTTGACTTACACCTGTCTTCTGCAGGTAGAATTGTGGCTTGTGACTTTTTTCCTCCTTTAAATTAGCAAATCCTTTTGTTCTGACCAGACCCTTTAGTCAGCAGTCTGTTCAACTGTTAGATTGGTCAGTGTTGTGATTGATATTAATTTATCCCAGAATTACTTCTGTCAGGACAAAAAGCCAGGTACTTCCAACCATACCTCCCTGCCAGATCCTGTATTATACCATGATTACTTCAGTTTTAGCCAGTAGGACTTTTCTTAGTCTTTTTTGCTTAATATTTGAGTAGTGGTAGTCATTCTTTTGACAGCTACAGCATTAATTATACTTTGCTGTTGGTTACCAGAGTTCCTTGCTTTCCTTATCTTTAAGGCACAGAAATATGTGAGAAAAATCTGTAGTCAATTTACAATGTGATCAGAATTTACAAGTTGTTTCTGTAGTCTACCTTGCCTCCTGCGTGTTTGGTTTGTGAGGTGATAAAATAGCATTTAGTGGCATTTAGAAGAGCTAATGGGCTTTGGAAGCTTTCACACACTTTTCTTAAAGCAAGCTGGCAAATAACTAAGGTGTGTGTATAAAGGTGGCTGGAAACCTGATAACTATTGCTTACTGCTAGGATAAAATCTACTTGCATGTTTTGCAAAACCACATAGGGTTTTGCAGGGATCTGTTCTAACATTAAATAAAGTTTTTACTAATATTTTGAATGATAAATTAGAATAAGGTCTGAAGTTACAGATGATCCTAAGGAGCACTGCTATCAGTGTGTTGATTAGGACTGGGTAAAAATTGCAGATAAAGTCTAAAAGAATGTTGCTTAGTTGGGTCATTTAAGTAACTCCATGTAGGGGAAAATCTCTTGCATGTATCTTCTTGTAGTCATTCCTACAGAAAACATCCTTCATCTTCACAGAAGACTGAAGTCAGTCAGGATGGGCAATGTTCATAAATGGAGGGTACATCTGTTCACTTGAAATTCATCAGCAGTGATGAATTGACTGAAATTTGAGTGTCATCTCTGCCTAAATTGTACAGGGGAGGAGTGCAATCTAAGGGGTTTCCATGTCCGTCTTGTGTTCTAGGTGAGAAAGATTGCTGTCTCCTCAATTGGATTTGAAGTGTGCTGCTTTTGAGCAGTAGGTATTTGGAAATTGACCGTCTGTTACTTTTAATTGAAGAATCCATTTCAGAGTCTAATGGATTAACACTGCTGCTTATCATGGCTTCCTTGTATTGCCCCTTCACTCTGTATCCTCCTGCTGCCTCTGGCATATGCGATAAGAACCATATTTTCTATTCTGTGCCTTTGCACAATGGAGTCCTTGTCAGTGACTAAGGCTGCTGACATGCCTGGTAGTATGCTACAGGAAAATGAGAACGTGTCAACGAGAAAAGAAAAAGGACCCAACACACAGTGGCAACCTAAGCACGTCTTTGTTAAGAAATTAAATGAAATTAATATCAAATGATCAAAGATATTTTTCCAGGAGCCTGATTCTCAGGAGGACGTCTTGTGGAGAATTTATAAAGGGCATCTCTGATATATGGTGGGTTGGAACTTTGGGGCCTGTGTGTTTGTGGTATAGTTCTAACAGTCCACTAGGTTTGTGTTGCAAGATTGAAGTTCTTCATTCCATACACCATGTAGAATTTCATGTTTGTAGCCAGTTCTGGTCCAGCAACAAATCACAAATATAAAGCAGGTTTCTGTACAGTAGTTGGCCAGAAGAGTTTTCAATTGTTTCTATTCTAAGGCTGGTTTGGTTGTATATTGGATCCAAGCTGTTTTGTAATGGAATCTATTTCTCAAAAGCTTCAGTTATGCAGTTTGAAACAGTTGATTCAGTCTTCCAGACTTTTTTCATCTTGTTTGCTGCTTGGTTTCTGCTGCCCAATAGATGACAATCTCAGGTGGGCAGTTGAGTTACATTTCAGAGCCTGTTCAAGACAGTTTGAACAAAATGCTTTTATAGTGTGGCTTATTTAACACTACTAACTATCTTCAACAATGGCATGTAAAGGAAAAGTTTCTTATTTCTGTTTATAGAAGTCTAGGTGAAGCAGAATGTTTCAAGGATAGTTGAGATCTTTGAATTCATTGAAGTTTTAATCTCCTTTCAATGCAGAATTTTAGAGTTGTCTGATGCAAGGCAGTCCTTTGTTACCTGCGTAGTGCATAGATGTATCTCACTCAGATTTCCAGTGAGAGATGCAGATCCTTAGTTTTGTAATTGAATTGTAAAATGGGTGATATTTGAACAAACCTTCCTTCTTTGAAATGGGAGGATTTGCAGAAGATAAGGTCTGTTATATCAGAAGTATAACTTCACTCTTATTAGAGGACCTATTAATATTTTGGTACTTTGTATGTATACACGCTGAGTAAAATATTTATTTTTGTTTCACCTTTACAGATGCATTCTTTAGCTCACTTTAAGTGGAGGAAAAACAACAGAAAAACATGTATAGCTCAAGAGTTCATTGCTGTATCTATTTTATTCCTGTGTGACGTGATTGTTTTGGAGGTTGACTCAAGGTCCCTGAAAACTCTTGTGTATTTGAAAAGTACTGTATTAATTCCATGTAAATAACTTCAACTTTCCTTTTTGATAGACCTTGAGGGAGGATTTGTGCAGAATAAGAAACAAGCCCTGTGACTTCACATTGTTTACTGTTGCATATTCCAGAACTGAAATTTTTGGGGCTTTTTTAGATAATAGTACATGTGTTCATTAAATGAATTTCCTTGTGTATTCTTTAACTCCTGATCTTAAAGGTATAGAAGTCTATGATCTTTCTTCATAAGAGGCTGTTCTCAACAGTGTATTCTTTACCACTTTGCAACACCAGGCAATGGGATTTTTCTTATTTCTAACAGTGTATCATTCTACAGCTGGAACTACAAACCAGATCTCAGCTAAGAATAAGACCTTGATTTTTTTTTTCCCCGTTATCTACAGCATTTTAAAATTGGCATTTTAATTGGTAAAGCTACATGGAGGTAATATGCAGTGGGAAAGAGAAACATGCCTGAGCAAAAATTGCTATTACTAAGTAGGATTCCTTTAGATTTTTTTTTACTGAATAATATGCCTATAATATTATGCATATTAAACTTTTTCAGTGGGATTTTTTCTTTAAGAGAAAACTTTCAGGAGCGATGTTTCATACTAACTTGATGTGGTGGTTGAACTGTTTGGTTTTTTTTCCCTTACTCTGTCCCCCTGTTTTAGGACTACAACGACGAAATCAGACAGGCACAGCTTCAAGAATTAACATATCTAAATGGTGGCTCAGAAAACGCAGAAGTTCCAGTGGTGCGTGGGAAAACATCTATTCGAGCAAGAGGAGTACCAGTTCCTGCTTTGTCCAGGTAAGTATCTCGGCTGCAGTGGAATTTCATACATACATATTTTAAGCTTCTCCCTTCAAACACACACACACACCACCCTCTCCAGAGTACAGCAGTGTAATACATGAAGGACTCCTAAAATATGAGCAAAAGATAAGGGATTCATTGAAGATAATCTAATTAGTTTAGACTGAATTAACAGTGGTGCTGGATTTTGTCTTGTGATACTTGGATGATCCCTGTGTTAAGAAACAATGTACATCATACAAGATGTTCAGTCTTACTGTGAGTATCTGCTACTAACAAGTATCTAATTCTAAGTTTCAGTTACTCCTTGGTTGCATGTAGGGTCTGTGCATGGGCCCTACGGAGCTCATGGCTTTGGAAAACTGGTAAATGTGTCTTGCCTTGATTGACATGAATTTGAGTGATCTCTAACTCACAGAATATATGTATTCCATTTCTACTGTGTTGTTAAGTTTCCATAATAAGAATAAAATGTTTTAGAAGTGATTTGGAGGTACAGTTTGGATTGTCTCATCTGAGTGGCACTTATTGCATTAAAAAATGGCTTTTGATTAAGGAATAGGCAAGTTTACTGCTTCTTTTGTTTTATTTTTCTTTGACACAGGAGTTGTTTTATTTTCATTCTAGCATCCCCTATCTTCCTTGCAGTACTGAGATGACAACTTCAACTCCTTTGAATCCCAAAGTATGAAAACAAACTAAATAAAGTGCATAACTGTTTTTGTTACAGTACAGAGATTGTGGCTGCAGCAGTTAAGTGTACCTGGTTTCCATGGTGATCTATTGTCCTTTAGTTGTGTCTATGATGCTTATTAATACAAGCTTGAAACTTACATTTCAGCTTTTAAGATCATTCCAAAATAATATTCTGAATTTTTTTAACTTAGATTAAGCATGTTAGGGAAAAAAGCACTGAGGAATTATTCCTTTTATACAGATCAGTTTAGTTGCCTGTATCCTGTGATAACAGTCCTGAGTAAAATGCAGAATGAACCATAATTTATAAAATTTACACTTACTGTTGATTGTCAAGTAAGAACATAATTATTTTCTCTAAATTGACAATATTTTGTTCCCATTCTTAAGCAGTATTGTGTAATATATCTTATTCTGCTTCTTCTCTTGATTTTAATGTTGTTCAGAGCAGTGGTAATTACATACCAAGGTTCGCTTCTTTAGCACTATAATCAGCCGTACAAAAGTCCATGCAAATCAGATGCCATTTGATTTTTGGAGATTTTTTTGATAATTCTTTCCTATAGATGCCTGTAACAGCTCTGCTACAGATACTCAGTGCACAGACACTCATAATTCTATTTCATGTTTTTTCATTTTTCATATGTCCTTAAGCTAGTATTTGTGATACAGAAGTTAGTTACTGTAAGTTCTGATCTTATCACTAAAGTTTGATACTTAATTTCCACTACTAGTATCTAGCACATGCGTGCATAACTAACTTTTTGTAGTCCTGAATTTCTAACCACTAATTCCATCCTCTGGACTTTGGTAAATTATTTTTTCAAACCTGCATTTCATACGAGGCATACATGCTGTTAGGTAGCTCACAAAATTCTTTGTAGTTCATCCTGTTGGCTTACAACTGCTGAAGTGTCTTTAGGGTAAATGTTGTTAGCAGTTGATTTGGACATGGCAAGATAAAAATTGTATTTGTCACCTTCTTTTTATATATATTCTAAAGAAAACTGAAAGGTGGTTGGGTTGTTCGACTTGTCCCTACTTTAAGGCTTATCTTAAATTCGAAGACCTCTTCCCCTCAAATTGAGGTGCTCTGTTAGCATCAAAGATTCCTTGAATGAAATTTAATGCCACTGCTACTGTAATACTACAGCCATTACTCTAAAGATCTCAAACTCAGTTGCAATGCTCTGATTCTGTTCTAACCCAAATTGATTTCAGTAAGTAATGCTTTACTTGAGGGAAGGCTTTGTTAAAGGCTTTGTCTTAGTGTTAAATAAAACAGTTTTAATAGCACACATCCCTGAGATCCAGGAGAGGTTGAAGCAAAGCTTAAGACAATTTCTAAAATGAAGTCTAAAACCCTGATCCTACCCTCTGTGTAGTCTGTAGGTATCAGCCTTGATACATGAAACATCCTGATCCAGTAACTGAGTGTGTTTAAGTTCTCAATTTTTAAGCCTTCATTTTTCCTGAGTAGTTTAACTCAAAAAAACCAAAGTACTAGTTTATACTTTCTTTGCTCCTTATCAGAAATGTTGAAACCAGAGATTATGCATTTTATCAAGTGCCTTCTTTTAAGAGGACTCATTACATTCATGTTTAGCTCCATACCAAAATTTTACTTTGTCAAAACAACACTACATTTGTGCTTGCATACAAAATTCTAGCTTGTGCACAGGTATTCTTGTATATGGTAAGTAATTTCCTGATGGTTGTGGTTTGATGTTAACTTTTCTGCTATTTCTGGCTTGTTTGAGATTTCGTTGACTAAATTTTTTTACTCTAAAGCCAAGTAGGATTTTGGGGATGAGTGGATGGAATTCACTGTAGAAGGGTTGTGTGTTTTGAGCTTTACCTTTAGGATATGCTTTTGTCATCACTGATCTTGGACATGTAGCTGCTTCCTTCTCCCCTTGCCCACATTTTTTTTCCTTCATCCTAATACTGTTAAAGATGACCTTCAGATGTCATCACATTTCTATTTTCTGTGATGTTTATGCTGAGCATTTAACCTCTTTAGGTGTTACCTGCCTCTTCTGTGCCACAAGAAAAAGGACATGAGAATCCTTCCCTGGCGAAAGTCTGGTTTTCTTTTCTTTGTTTTTATTGTAAACTGACATTGTTCTTAATTTTTTTGGAGGTCACTACATAAAATGAAGGATCATGACAGCTACTTCTTAATTTATTGTGCTAGAAAGCTTAGAGGCTCCATAATGCTGTTATAGTGAGTAGCTAGAAGATATAACTCTACTAGAATCAGTGTTTCTTTAATGCATTTGAATTCCCATCCAGAATGGGATGTCAGATAAATGATACTACTACTGAAATGTGAATTGTGACTTCTGATTAACTAAAGACTGCAAGTAACATGTGTTAACATGCATGTTAATGTACACCTCTAAGTACACTTTGCAAATAAAGTAACATTACCTCTCTAAAACTTCATATTCCTATCCCGAGACTAAGTGAAAAGAAGATTTAAGGAACACTCATTTCTGACTCAAACTAAGATGTATTGAAAAAGTGAAATTCTAGAGGATGATAATAATAAATCTAAGAATATGGATAAGTTGTCCTTGGGAACCAATTCATGTCACTTACAGGTAGAAGTCACTGTTAGAATCATAGTATTATTTTGTTTGGAAGAGGTCTTTAGAGATCTAGTCCAACCCCCTGCTGTGGGAACGAATATATTCCCCTAGATCCAGTTGCTCAAAGCCCTGTCCAACCTGGCCTTGAACACTTCCAGGGATGGGGCATGTACAGCTTCTCTGGGCAACCTGTTCCAGTATCTCACCACCTCACTGTCAAGAATTTCTTCCTTATGTCCAATATAAACCTACCCTCTTTTGGTTTAAATCCAATGCCCCTTGTCCTGTGACTTCAGGCCCTGGTAAAAAGTCTCTATTAATTTTTCTTATAAGCAGCCCCCCGTAAGTATGGAAGGGCCATAATAGGGGAGAGCTGGTTGGGCTCATTCTCCAAATTGAGAGGAATTGTATTTGAAAAGCAGACATTTTGGTTTCATGAAAATAAGGGGAGGAAAAAATAATTTCTCATAAATCTAACATGTAGGAATAGTCTAATTAAAGGAACAGCAAAATTCTGATTTATGCTTGAATGAGATTGTGGGGTGTTTTATTTTTCCCATTTATTCTTTTCATTCATATTTCAGTGTATGCATGGCTGGCATCCTAATGGTTGAATGACTGTCATGCTATCTGGGGAAAATAAAACTGTTACAGAAGTTGTAGGTTAGAATTTGGTGTCTTATATGTCAGAAGTAATACGAGGTGATGTGGATCACTGCAGTGTGTTCACAACTTCCAATTGTTTTGCTGTCATATGTCTGTAAACAACTGATTTCTTTTTTGAAGATTAACTTTTTGTTGAGAACGTGTAGGTAGGGTACTGCAAAAGGTTCTATAGCACAGAAAAGGTTTGGCAAAGGCAGGTACTATGCTCAGTGTGTTTTTTTCTTTAGTCTTATGATAAATCTTCCATTTTTAACAAAATTGAAACATGAACATACATATTACTGTTTTCAAATAAAAAAATGTGAAATAAAACTTGTATGAGTGTTAACTTCAATGATGACTCCCGTTAAAAAAGATTAAAAGGCGGGAATCCTAACTCTGAGAGTGGTATCTGAATATCAATGTTCAATATTTTGGTGCTGACACTTTAAAATAACAGGTTTGTTATTTTTCAGATGTCTAATATAAAACCTGAACAAGAATATTTACTGTATAAGAAACATTGAATGTAGTTGGCTGTGCTCAAAGGAAGAAAATGTATCAACATCTGGTAACAAAATTTGTTAGATCCATTAATTGAACAGTTTAAAAACTTTTAGATGCATGGAACTATGCTAAAATTAGAGTTCCAGGTGTTTCCTCGTTGAATAATACAGTGTTGGGGAGCTGGTCCTAAATTTCACAAGTATATTTATATTAAAGCTGTTCTTATGTTTACTTTCTCTTCTGGAGGGGGATTATTGAAAAGAAGGTTCATACCACATAAACTCATTTTTGTTCTTTCACTAAAACAGTGAAAAAGCTATGAACTGCTTCTAGTTCTGATTTCATAGTCAGTTATTTTACTAATTCAGTCATCCAGTGAAAGGTGAAACTTGCAATAAAAATCAGTATAATACTAAAAATAAGTAGAGATATTGCTGAGGGGAGCTGGAAGAGAGTATCAGCTAAATGCTATGCCTGCTATGCTCAAGGGCAATAACTTAGTTTGCTGGAAACAAATCCTATAAGGGACTAAAGTAAAGTAGAAATGTGAAAAACT